AGAGAGAGAGAGAGAGAGAGAGAGAGAGAGAGAGAGAGAGAGAGAGAGAGTCGAGGGGGATCGAGAAGGTTCAATCTTTCCTCCAGATAGAAAGATTGGCTATGCAACGTATACTGTCAAGAGTCGAGCATGGGAATAGTTCTACTCATCAGCACGGCTGACGGTGAATGAAACATGCCCATTCTATGGAGCAGAGCCCTCCATAACATCTTGGCATAGGTTCTTTCACGTGGAAAGGTGCGTATGTGTATGCGTAGGTGCCTGTGTGCGTGAGAGAGAGAGAGAGAGAGAGAGTAGGGGAGACGGGGGAGGAGGAGGGAAGGAAGCACGAGGATAGGGAGAACGGGGATGGGGAGGGGACCGAGGAGTCGAGCACACGTGACGAGAACCGTCAGCGCGCGTGGACACATCAGCAACGCAGTGCGCAATGCTGCATCAGCAACGCAGTGCACTGTACGCTATTGGAACCGGGCGCGGACATAGGGCCTCGCTCCAATACTCACCAAATGTGCAACATGAGAATGAATCTTCGCCTAGAACATGGAAAGATACACGGCCATATTTTTTGTATTTTATGCATGTGGTGAGTAGTGGAGCGAGGACATAGATACAGAAAAGGGAGAGAGGAGAGTGAGGACAGAAAGAGACGGCAGAGAAGAGAAGGGACTTATCAGTGCGTGGAATGACAGAAAGTAGCATGCACCAACGGACGTAGCTGTCCGTTGATACACCCACGAACTGTCCGTGGAGACCTGAGTTCAAACCCAGCCAAAACAAACACGCGCTGAATTATTGTAATTATTTTTATTTTTATTTTTACACGCGCTGTCCTTGGTCATCTCCAAGCAGCAGACCGTCACCGAAGGGCGGGAAGGCCAGCTCCTTTCTCCCGAAAAAACGGCGATAAGTTCTTCATTTCAAAATTGACGCGCCGGAAGTAGAGCGGGGGCCAAGTCCCACTAGATGGTGCTCTTCATTTTTGGCCGTGGAATCCCACAACAATCGGGGGTCAAGAATGAAGAACACACGCCAGTGGGACCTACCGGTAGCGGCGCTGTTGTGCCGTTGGAAGCTTGTGCGGCATGGGATATATTTTTTTTTATTATATTTTTGAGGCATTATCGAACTGAACAGAGGCTTATGTGGTTGTCAGGTTTTCTCCCAGCTCACACTGAGGGTCACAGAGGATGGGGTTACGGAGCCCATGTGGTTCGTGGGCTGCTGTGTGAGACCATCTGGAAGGACAGGAACAGATCCAGGTTCGAAGGGCGGCCTTTCTCAGATGTGGAAACAAAAAGGAACCTCAAATAGGGCCTGAAGCTCGCCATCTGTGCGAGTTGGAGAGGCAAAGCGAAATCAGGCAAGGGCAATATAAACACAGCTGGGATGGTTCAAACGAACATGGGCAAGCAACAGTCACTGGGTGACTGTACACCCAAGCAAAGGTCTTGTCTTCTCAGACTGGTTTCTGGAGAAACCAACTGGACTGGTAACCTTGGAGACGCTTGAAAGGTCGCTGTGGACCGTTAGCAGAGTGTCAACAGATTTGGACGAAGTCCTCAGGGCCGTGCTAGTCCCAGATAGAACACAGACTAAGTTGGAAGCTCAATAGAGTCGTATGGAACATCTAAAAGTTTCCATCGTTTCTGTAACGTCATAGGTACAGTCATCCGATTTTCAACAAGAAATTTAGATTCAGGCTCGGTTCCGGAATTGGCCCTTTGGAAAATTAGACTTATCTCACATGATATACTCTGCACTAGCAAGAGTATCCGCAGGTCTTCTACCTGTAAGCTAAGCTGGCTGATGCTGTCAGATACCTCCAGGTTGAATTCTGAGGTCCCCGGCCTCGTTTCGCGTTGGTAATGAG